GTCTTCATCACATATTCCCATTGATGATGGCTAGCTGCCCTGTCAATCTGCTGGGGGTTTTTTGTTTTGTGTTTTGTGGGTCCTGGGACTTGAACTCTGGGCCTGAGCGCTGTCCTTCAGCTCTTCAGCTCAAAGCGAGCCCTCTACCACTTGAGCTACAGTGCCATTTCCAGTCTTCTGGTGGTTTATTGGAGATGAGAGTTTCATGGCCTTCTCTGCCTAGGATGGCTTTGAACAGCAATCCTCAGATCTCAGCCTCCTGAGTAGCTAGGATTACAGGTGTGAGCCACTGGCGCTCGGCCAGTCTGCTGGTTTATGTCTCTCAATTCCTTTAGATGTTTTAGAAGTACTGAAAATATGAGAGGGTGTTTATTCAGCTGTGTCCAGGGATGAATGAAGTCCAACTTTAGTAGATGCTGGGAATTGAAACTATGGCGTTAACACATTCTGGTCTTGCTCTCTTACCATTGTGCTATGTCCCAATCTCATCATCTGCTCTTTGAGTTGTTTAATAAGATGTAATGTTGATATGAAGGAGGCCTTTCTGTTGCTCCTAAAGCAAACCTTATATGCACATCTAATCCTCTAATGACATTCTTATTGTTCCCAGTTCTCTATTATTATATTACAGCTTTATGTGTTAGGTAATAGTAGCTATTCTTGTTGATTCTTAATGCAGGAATCTTAGAATTTTTTTTTTTTTTTTGTCAGTCCTGAGGCCTGAACTCTGGGCCTGAGCACTGTCCCTCAGCTCTTCAGCTCAAGCCTAGCACTCTACCTCTTGAGACACAGCGCCACTTCTGGCCTTTTCTGCTTATGTGGTGCTGAGGAATGGAACCCAGGGCCTCATGCATGCAAGGCAAGCACTCTACCACGGAGCCACCTTCTCAGCCCTGAATCCTAGAATTCTGTCTTTTGCTTCTTCCATTAGAAAATTGCATGCTGCCATGGACTGGGATGTAGTTCAATAGCAGGGCGTTTGCCTAGCAGATACAGGCATTCAATACCCAATACCCACACAAAAATTAGGTATGATGAAATGTTTATAGGCCGGTATTATAAATTTCTGGGAAGATGGTAATCTCTGTAGTGAGTTTTAGCTACATATATGTATAAAACATAGCCACAAATGAAACACTGTATGTAACATTTACACTCAGGTTAGGCAAGGCTTTATACTGTTGGTTAAACTGGACTTCTAAGACCTAGAATGTGGCTCACCCCTAGAAAGTATCATACTACTCATTGTCTCTCCCTGAATGTGCTGCTTGTTCCACTCCCTGGCTTCAATTCCACGGGTGGGTATTGCTTTATACTCCTGTTATCAGGATACACATGTACATTAATTACTGTAATTCTATGCAACAGGTGCCATCTCCAATTTCCACAAATGAATAATTCATTACTCTTCAATTTATGTTCCATAGCTCCATGGCTTCCCCACTACACTTACCTATTATAAATGCTTCTCATTTTTGTTGCTCTTAACCTCTTAAAGTAGCCTTACCTGCTACTTTCCACTTAGTATTATATAGTTAAGATTCATCTTGGGGGGGGGGGGGGAGGCAGTCCTGGGACTTGAACTCAAGGCCTGGGCACCGTCCCTGAGCTTTTTTGCTCGTCTAACACTCTACCACCTTGAGCCACAACTCAAAAAAGTTTTCCAGTTTGGGGTAGTTAGTTGGAGATGAGTCTCACAGACTTTCATATCTGAGCTGGCTTTGAACCACAATCCTCAGATCTCAGCCTTTTGAGTAGCTAGGATTACAGGCATGGCACCCAGCCGATTTGTCCAATTTCTACTAGCATATATTAGCTGTACAAGAGATGTTGTTGTGACCCTTTCCACTAATGAATGCAAGGTAGTCAAGCTAATTCCTTTTCCCCATCACAGTTCCTAATACCACTTCAAGAGAAGTGTAGATACGTGCCAGCATTAGAGATGGAATTCAAGGTCTTGCACTCTTGCACAGCTTTTCTGCACACGTCTGGCACTCTACCACTGAAAGCACACCTTCAGTTCAGCATCTTTTATGGTAAATTGGGAGACAGATCCAGGCTGGCTTCAACAGTCTTCCAGATTTTAGCCACCTGAGTAGCTAGGAATAGAGACATAAGCCACCAGCACTCAGCTTCAGTATATGTCTTTTAACAAAAATACTTTAACAGTGTCCAATATGCAGGAAGTTGATGAAAATCATTAGCATATTTGTCATTTCAGCTACAAATCTGAACAATAGCAAAGGGAAATGAAGCGGAACCCTTTGCCTAGATTGCCCTTACCATGGTACTGGGTAGTAAGCTTAGGACCTCAGACTTGCTGTCACTCTACCACCTGCCAGCCCTAGGGTACTGCCCCTGAGCTACTTTCTGCTCAAGGCTAACGCTCTACCACCTGAGCCACAGGCCACTTCCGGCTTTGTCTATGTTATGTGGTTCTGAGGACTTGAATCCAGGGTTTCATGAGTACTAGGCAAGCACTCTACCACTAAGCCACATTCCCAGCCCTCCTAGAGCTTTTCATTATACTATTTTTCAGATAGGGTTTCTTTCTTTCGTTTTTCCCAGTCCAGTCTGTACCACAGCACTTCTATTTACACCTCCTGCATACATAGCTGATATATTTATTGGTTTGAATCCGTGTTTGTATGTGTGTGTGTGGTCTCATTTTTTTCCTGAGGTCAAACTTCACTTTTCAGGTAGTAGCGATTACTGGCATGAGCCACCATATCCAGCTTAAAGTGATTCATTTCCATAAGAAGCAGAAATGCGGGATGCCGGTGGCTCACACCTGTCATTCTAGTGACTCAGGAGGCTGAGAGCTGAGGATCACGGTTCAAAGCCAGCCCAGGCAGGAAAGTCCATGAGACTCTTATCTCCAATAAACCACCAGAAAACTGGAAGTGGCACTGTGGCTCAAGTGGTAGAGTGCTCGCCTTGAGCTGAAAAGCACAGGGACAGCACCCAGGCCCAGAGTTCAAGCCCCACGATCAAAAAAAGAAAAAAGAAGGAAAGGAATATCTAGTCCTTGCCATAGAAGGCAATTGGAAAATCCCAACAATTAGCCATTTGTCAGTAGCCTATTAATTACAATTGAACGATGTAAAAAGTAAATCAAACATACTGTAAGGACCCTATCATCCATTCAGACACCGCAGCCCAAAGGAAAAGGGAAAATTTGTATTTTGTCACGTTAGGAAAAAAACTTGGTTAAGCTCACATTACAAGTGCCTAAAGAATACCCCACAAAATATTTCACTCAATACTTCGGCCTAAAGTAGAAATCGTGAACCATTGATAAACACAACATTAGCATGCCTTTCAAAGCATCTCTTACCTGCGGTGGGGGTTGAGTACTAAAAAAAAGTCCTTTTTCATAAAGTTTTCCGTGTTACTTACAAAGCTTCTCCAGTAAATTTTCACATGACATACAAGGTATTTGTCAAACCGAAAGCCTGTGGCTCATACCTGTAATCCTACTCAGGAAGCTGAGATCTGAGTATAGTGGTTCAAAGCCAGTCCAGGCAGGAAATCTGTGAGACTCATCTCCAATTAAACACACACACACCCACACACACACACACAGCTAGAAGTGGAACTTTGACTAACTTTAAACAAAAAAGTTCAGGAATAGTGCCCAGGCCCTAAGTTCAAGCCCCAACACTGACACCAGAAAAAGAATTTGTGTAATGTTAAAAAAAAAAAAAGTGGGCTGGGAAGGTGGCTCAGTGGTAGAGTGCTTGCCTTGCATGCATGAGGCCCTGGGTTCGATTCCTCAGCACTACATAAGCAAAAAGAAAAAAGCCAGAAGTGGCACTGTGGCTCAAGTGGTAAAGCACTAACCTTGAGCTGAAGAGCTGAGGGACATGCCCAGTCCCAGAGTTCAGGCCCCATGACCGGACCCCCCCCCAAAAAAAAAGTATTTTGGGCTGGGAAGGTGGCTCAGTGGTAGAGTGCTTGCCTTGCATGCACAAGGCCCTGGGTTCATTCCTCATGTGGTAGAGTGCTAGCCTTGAGCTAAAGAGCTGAGGGACAACATGCAGGTCCAGAATTCAAACCCCACAACCACCACCACCAAAAACAAAATTTATTTTCAAAATCAATGGGGGGGGTTAATTGGTAGCGTACCAGCCAAGCAAGCCAATCAGGTGCAAGGCCCTGAGTTCAAACCCCAATACTGGCATAAAAAAAGAACTAAAGGCATTGAAAACTACTGTGTATTCTTACATGTCTTTGTCAGGATGCCTGGCCTTGAGCTATGATTAATATTCATGGAATGTCAACACTTTTTCATGGTTTCCATTTGTACTGAAATGATATAAACTTTGAATTTTCACATTTGGACTTTCTTCATTATGTACTTGTTTCTGTGCTGGAAATATTACAACATAAAATGTCCCAGCTCCTTCCACAAGCTCTCAAGGATGAGCTCATTCATGAAAAGGAACTTGGGACTTGAAGAGTTCTTCAAATTCCTTATATTCATAGGAATTCTGCTACATGAAATGACTTACAATTGAAGGCTTCACTGTACTATTTCCATTCTTACTATTTTTATGTTTCTTTGGTTAGTCCATCCATGCACTAGCAATCGCCTAGATTTTGTTTTTTGTCGGTTGTGGGGCTTGAACTCTGGGCCTGAGCGCTGTCCCTCAGCTCTTCAGCTCAAGGCAAGCGCTCTACCACTTGAGCCACAGTGCCACTTCCTAGCCTAGATTTTTAGAAAAGGACCTCCCACTTATATTTAAACTTCACTGGGCTTATTGTCATAGTTTTACATGTTCTAGAATCCCTAAAAAGACCAAGAATTCAGGCTGGGAAGGTGGCTTAGTGGTAGAGTGCTTGCCTAGCATATATGACGCCCTGGGTTTGATTCCTCAGTACCACATACACAGAGAAAGCCCAAGTGGTGCTGGGGCTCAAGTGGTTGAGTGCTAGCCTTGAGCAAAAGCAACTCAGCGACAGTGCCCAGGCCCTGAGTTCAAACCCCAGGACTGGCCAAAAAAAAAAAAAATTAAGTATTCCCATACTCATTTTCAGTGTCTCTCCAATGAGTTCGTTCATGTTTTTGAAGATGACTAGAACAAATAAAGGCTTTCCCACATCGCTTACAACCATAAGGCCTCTCTCCAGTATGAGTCCTTGCATGTACTTGAAAAGAACTCAAATATATGAACGCTTTCCCACACTGCTGACATTCATAGGGTTTCTCTCCAGTGTGAGTTCTTTCATGCACTCGAAAAGAACTAGAGTGTGCAAAGACTTTGCCACACTCAGTACACTTATAAGGTTTCTCTCCGGTGTGAGTCCTTTCATGTACTCGAACAGAACTAGAATGTGTGAAGGCTTTCCCACACTGCGAACACACATAAGGTCTCTCCCCAGTATGAGTCATTTCATGCACTTTCAAAGTACTATAGTTTCTGAGGGCCTTCCCACAGTCCTGACATTCATAGGGCTTCTTTCTTGAATGAGTCCTTTTGTGGTGTAGACAACACATAGACTTCCTGGTTTCCTCACAAAATTCACATTGATGGGTTACACCTGTGTTGAGTTCCACCACCTGCCCTCTGACCCTTCTGGGAGCAAGAATACCTTCAGTGCATTTCTTGCATTCACAAGTTTTCTCTCTGGTGTGAGTCCTTCTCTGGATTCTGATAGAGCTGTAAAGTGTAAAAGCTTTCCCAGGTGCCTTCCATTCAGAGTGATTTTGTCTAGTGAAAGGCCTGTTCCGTTCTCGAAAAGAACTTGAACAAGCACAGGGTTTCCCACACTGCTTACATTCATAGGGTTTCTTGTCGGTGGGAATCCTTTCGTGGACTTGTAAATAACCAGCACCTGAATGGGCTTTCCCACACTGCTTACATTCATAGGGCTTCTGTCCAGCGTGACACCTTTCATACCTGTAAACTAAGCTAGGAAATAAAAAGTGACATTTGTAAGGTCTATCTCCATGGTGCACACCCCTGGGTCTTCTAAACTTCCTGAGAGAAAAGGTTTTTCCGCATTCTGTACAATCATAGGGTTTCTCCTCATGAAACCGAAAAGAACTCAAATGGCTGCAAGCCTCCACACTTTTTTTATGTTTGCAGGATGTATCTACAGTGGGAGCCATTTCTTTGGCCGGAAACGCAGCAGAATGTGTGAGTTCATTCCCATCACCCTCAAGTCCACCTGGACTCCCTCTGGTTTCAGCACTTTTGTGCACTGCCAGTGAACTGGTACAGTGAAAGGCTTTGCGCCACAGGAGACCTCCACAACCTTTGTCCCTAGTGAGCATCACTGTGTGCCATCTCTGGGTTTTAAGAGGAATGGAGGATTTCCTACATTCTTTACATTCACAGAGCTTCTCTCCACAGTGAGTTTTTGCACTTCTTTGAAAGGCATGGCGATTATGGAAAACTTTCCCACACTGCTCACAGTTCCATGGTTTCTCTTCACATTCCAGCATCTCACGCTGCTGGTGTCCAGTGTCAGGAACAGAACACCTATTAGAGATGAGTGACACATGAACATTCCAAGCACACTTTCTTTTTTTTTTGGGGGGGGGGGACCGGTCATGAGGCCTGAACTCTGGGCCTGGGCGCTGTCCCTCAGCTTTTCAGCTCAAGGCTAGCACTCTACCATTAGAGCCACAGCACCACTTCCAGCTTTTTTCTTTTTGCTTATATGGTGTTGAGGAATCGAACCCAGGGCCTCATGCATGCAAGGCAAACGCTATACCACTGAGCCATCTTCCCAGCCCCACACTTTATTTCTAAGGTTTTACTCCAATAGGACTTTTTTGGGGTTTTTTGCTCAGAGTAAGCTTTAAATCTGGTTAGTCATTTCTTTACAGCAGCAATGTTCTCTACTTTCATAGGCTTTCCCTAGAACGTTAGTGCTTTACAAACTGAGAAACAGACCAGGCACCAGTGACTCTTGCCTGTAATCCTAGATACTTAGGAGGCTGAGATTTGAGGATTGCACTTCAAAGCCAGCCTGGGCAGGAAACTGTAAGAGCCTCTTATCCCCAATAAACTAGCAAAGAAGTGGAGCTGGGACTCAAGTCTTAAGCAAAAAAGCTTAGGAACAATGCCCAGGCGCTGAGTTCAGGCCCCAAGACTACCAGAAGAAAATATTGAGAAACATTATTTTTGGTTTATTATTGATACTATATTTACTAATATATAATCATATTATTTTTACTACTATCAAGTAAAATGTAGGTTTAATGACATAGAAATTATAATTGAAACAAAATAATTTTCACATGTGGAGTTTTGGTTTCTATTTTGTAGAGAAAACATCTATTTCATATAAATATATACTTAACATACTTTACTTTTATTTCACCAAAATGAGCTGGTGAATGATGAATGTTGATTTTGAAGCTGAGCTCGTTTTTTACTTGTTTTCAAAGTTCATCAGTATACTAACATTGTCACATGGGACACTGAGGAGCCTAGGAAGGCAGGACAGGACAACAGAAACAATAACAGGGACAATCTCACATACTTCATAAATAGTATGAATGAAAAATTAAAAAAAAAAACCAGAGGTGGGGTGCTGTGGTTCAACATTCTAGCCAGACCCTGAGTTCAAGACTGGCACATGCACACACAGATACAAAAGGCATCTTGAAACAAATGCAAACAGAAAAATTGAAACCCATGGATGCAGCACAAGCAGTTCTGACTAGAAATGTCTGATAACTGCCTACAAGGAAAAGAAAAATCCTAAAATGACTTATTACACCTCAAAGAAGTAGATGGAGAACAAACTGAACCCAAAATTATAAGAAAGCAACAATACAGATCAGAATTTCCAGCCTGGGCAGGAAAGTCTGTGAGACCTTGTTTTTTTGTTTTGTTTTGTTTTTTTTGTCAGTGGTGGGGATTGAACTCTGGGCCTGGGCGCTGTCCCTCAGCTCTTCAGCTTAAGGCTAGCACTCTACCACTTGAGCCACAGAGGCACTTCTGGTTTTCTGGTAGTTTATTGGAGATAAGAGTCTCACGCACTTTCGTGCCCGGGCTGGCTTTCAACTGAGATGCTCAGATCTCAGCCTCCTGAGTAGCTAGGATTACAGGCGTGAGCCACCAGCGCCCAGCAGTTTGTGAGACTTTTATCTCCAATAAACCACCAGAAAAGTGGAAGTGGTGCTTTACAAAAGTGTTTATAAGGGCTGGGAAGGTGGCTTAGTGATAGTGCTTGCCTAGCATGCATGAAGCCCTGGATTTGATTCCTTAGTACCACATACACAGAAAAGGCCAGAAGTGGCACTGTGGCTCAAGTGGAAGAGTGCATCCTTGAGCAAAAGAAGCTCAAGGACAGTGTTCAGGCTTGAGTTCAAGTCTCAGGACTGGCCAAACAAAAAGGAGCAAAAAGAAATTGTTCCAAAAGATTTTTATGAAGCAAACAAAACCTCCCAATGATATATAAGCCACATAAGTCATAACAAGATTTAAAACAAAAACAAAAAAATCATTATGCATCAGGTAAGTGGGAAATATTTCTGGCATGCGTGGATGGTTTTACATAAATCTGCCTGGTGAAGAAGTACATGCCTGTAGTCTAGTTAAGATAATGACAAAATAATTACATGAGACTAGGCATCTTTTCAGATCAGCCTCCACAACAAATCAAGGGCCATTTTTTTAAAGACTAAATAAAAATGGGACTTGCTGGCTCACATTTGCTATTTCAGTTACTTAAGGTGGAGATTGGCAAATCACAGTCCAAACCAGAATGAACACATTACCAAGACCTCATTTCAGCCTTCAAGTTGAATATTGTGTTACATAACTGTAATCCAAGCTATGCAGAAGACATAAATAGGAGGGTCACTGTTTTTGATATCCCAGGCAAAAACACAAGACTCTATCCCCAAAATAACAAAAGCAAAAAGGGCTGCAGAATGGCTTAAGTCATAGAATGCCTGCCTAGCAAGTGTGAGGTCCTGAGTTCAAAACCCAGTACCACCAAAAAGAAAAAAATATCAATACGTTTACATTGGAGAGAGAGCCTCAACATCAACTGCCCTGTTTCCGCTGTATTTGATGTTGGGATAATTTGGGGAGGGGAAGGGAAAAAAATTGTTTAAACTGGGATGCAGGTGGACCCATTGCAACAATGAGATGTACAAGGCGCTATGTCGAAAAACCAACTTTACAATATAGATGGGGCGTGGGGGGAGTGTAGTTGTGGAGATGGAGGGAAGGGATGGTAGGGGAAAACCAAAGGAGGAGACAACAATGCTTGATAAGAAATGTACCTTGCTCATGTAACTGTAACCCCTTCTCTGTACAGTACTCTCACAATAAAAAACTTATTAAAAAAAAGAACATCAACCGTACAGAGGAGGCAAATCATATCCACACGACTAAGGGTTACTACCCAAACTGCTAAAAATGAACTATATACAACCTGTGAGTGAGATGGGAGGGAAAAACCGGATGAGAGCAAGGGGCAGGCACTGTCCAGCTGTAACCTTTACAGCAACAGTAAAACTTTAAAACAAAATGTCAGACACAGACAGATAGTGCAGGATCTCACAGGTGCAACCACTCAAATATACTATTAAAGAACACAACAGTGAAGAGGAGCTGGGAGAAAGAAAATAGGAAAACGTACATCTGAGGACACAAACCGCCATATGAACAATTCTAGAGATTTAATGTATGTCTTAAAGAACAGCTAATAAAACAGTACTATATTTGAGATTCTTTTAAATACCATCTATTGGCTCTTGTAATGAACACAAAAAGTGAGTAAACTGTGAGATTATAGGAACATTACTTATTTCACTAAAGCAACCATTTTACTATCTATTTGGATCCTGCACCAGTTATGTTATATACTACACAAACTCATTGTTAAAATGAAACGATGTACGTGTGGCATTTTGTTCATTTTTATTTGCTTGGTTTTTACTTTTGGCTGTCCTGGGGCTTGAACTGAAGGGGCCTTACACTCTGGTCCAGCTTCTTCACTCATAGCTGATGCTCTACCAGCTGTGCTACACCTCCAATTAACCAGCATTGGAGATGAGTGACTCGAACTGTTCTGCCTGGGCTGACTTCAAACCAATATCCTCAGATTTCAGTCTCTTGAATTAATAGGAGTTTAAGTGTGAGTCACAGGCAGTTGATGACAGATATGGCTTCTTTTCTTTTTGTCAGTCACAGGGCTTGAGCTTCTGGGCCTGAGCACTGTCTCTCAGCTCAAGGCAAGCGTTCTACCACTTGAGTCACAGCGCCACTTCCAGTTTTCTGGTAGTTTATTGGAGATAAGAGTCTCATGGACTTTCATCCCAGGCTGGCTTTGAACTGTGATCCTCTGATCTTAGCCTCCTGAGTAGCTAGGATTACAGGGGTGAGCCACCAGAGCCCAACTTGATGTGGTTTCTTAATATGTTTTGCTACTGTGTAATCTCTGAAAACATGTATCACAAACTATTGCTAGTGAAAAACATTTTACAAATAAACTGGAAACTTGTTTAACATGTTGTTTCTTTATTTGTAACTTTTCTTTTCTTTTTTTTACATATTAGGTCCCAACCAGGACTCAAACTCAGTTTCACTCATTGGTTAGCACTCTAACCACTGAACCACAACTCCAATCCCATCCCAATTTGTAAATTTTTATGTCATAATACCAGTGCAGTGACAGCTGCCTGCCATCCCACCTGTTAGAGACTGAGGTAGGTTGCTAATTTGAGCCCAGAAGTGGGGAGGCCACTGATAAACACAGCCAGACCCCTGTGTCAAATAAACAAGTCAAATCCAGATTCCCTTCTAGGGGCTGGGAAGGTGGCTCAGTGGTAGAGTGCTTGCCTTGCATGCATGAGGCCCTGGGTTTGATTCCTCAGCACCACATAAAGAAAAAGCCAGAAGTGGCGCTGTGGCTCAAGTGGTAGAGCGCTAGCCTTGAGCTGAAGAGCTGAGGGACAGCACCTAGGCCGAGTTCAGGCCCCACCACCACCAAAAAAAAAAAACAAAAAGAGATTCACTTCTAGCACATTACTGGCATTATGCCTACAATTACCTTAAATACCTTCCTGAATTTTGGTTCCAATCATCAAAGTTCTCATCTTCCCACTTTTGGCCTAAAATACATAGAGAAAAGCGTAAATGATCGTGCTGTAGTTTTATGATGGTCTGGGAACAATCCTGTTTTATTCACCAAAGTATTCCTTTTCCATGTTTAATACTGGAAAATCTTGATGGGCAAGAGATACATTTTTTCAATTTAGAATTAGGTCAGCAATGAAACATTTGCCTTGCTTAGTGTGGGAGGGGCTAGAATAAATTCCCAGAGGAAAAGGAGGGAGCAGGGAAGTGAAGGGAAGACTGGGGAAGAGAGGGACGAGAAAATCCTGGGAGGCAATAAGACGGAGGATGTACTTTAGTGACAGTGACTGATCCAAACTCCCAATCTCAAAAGGAAAAGAACACATCCATTTAATTAAGTGAAAGCTTTTCATCCTTACCAAGAAAGGACAAGTTCTGCAAGGTTTCCCACATGACATCTCTATAGAGTTCCTTCTGGGAAATATCCAGCAAAGCCCACTCCTCAGGGGTAAAGTTCACAGCCACATCGTCGAAGGTGAAGGAGTCCTGAAACAATCCAGGCATGCTGACGGGAGGAAGCAGTCACCTGATACACAGGAGTGTGTAATGAACTCATGAAGAGTTCACATACATAATTCTTTGGCCTCCAAACATTTATCATGAAGAAAAGGATGTGGTAATCGGGACACATTCACCTCCTCAAGAATTACCAGCAATAAGAGCTTATGGAACTGATCTGTACGTTTTTACTCTGCTCACTATGAGCCCTACTGCTCCCTAATGGACGCATGCATCTCACCTTGTAGATACGAAAAACATGCATGCCGGACGACGAAACAAACTTTAACACCATTGACTCCTAGCATGAAAAACTTCTATTTCATTTGTTACTATCCCATAACGGCGCGCAGCACCTCATGAGGCACATGTTGGCTAGCTGCGGCGGTCACATTCCTGATATTTTTATTATCTCCAGTATTTCATTGAATATATAGACTGATCAAGAGGAAGCAATTATTCTAATCCCATCATTCAGCCTGGGATTAAAAAAAAAATGTCCACAAGCAGGGTGCCATTGGCCCTGCTACTCAGACCGCTGAGATCTGAAGATCACAGTTCAAATCCAGCCTGGGCAGGAAAGACCATGAGACACTATCTCCAATTAGCTACCAAAAAAACCCAGAAGGCTCAAGTGGTAAAATGCTAGCTTTGAGCTAAAAAAGCTAAGGGATGGCACCTCAACCCTGAGTTCAAGCCTCAGGACTGGCACACACAGAAAAAAAAAAAAGACAACAAAAATATATGATTAAGCAGAACATTACACAGGAGAGACTATATCTTATGCAAAAAGACATTATCTCTTAAGAAATGAGTAACAGGGGCTGGGAAGGTGGCTCAGTGGTAGAGCGCTTGCTTTGCATGCCTGAGGCCCTGGGTTCAATTTCTCAGCACCACATAAACAAAAAGAAAAAAGCTGGGAGTAGCACTGTGGCTCAAGTGGTAGAGCGCTAGCCTTGAGCTGAAGAGCTGAGGGGAAGCATCCAGGCCCAGAGTTCAGGCCACACAACTGGACCCCCCCCCCAAAAAAAAGAGAAGTAAGTAATAGAACAGACTCAGCTCTCACTAAGTACAAGGACAAAAATGAATTATATAATCCTTGTACATCACCTTTATAATAGCAATAATGTGTGTGTGTGTGTGTGTGTGTGTGTGTGTGTAATCCTAAATTGTGAAGACTCAGGGTCTGTGTTGGAGGAGTAGAATGATGCAGGCTCCGGCCTCAGGATTATCTGAGGACTGTGTCTGTGTATGTGGAAAGCTCTTGGCATGCCGGGCAAGAGAGGGACCGTGTTCTCTCTCCCTATCTCAAAGCACATGTCACAGACTCCTGGGAGCTGAGGAAGTAGCTCTTTTGCTTGTTTAAGCATAGACGAACAGCTAGTCAAGCATTTTCCTGAGTACGGGGAAGTGGTTTGAACTTGCTCTAAAATAGTTTAGATAAAAATATACTAAGACATTGTCTCATAGCTTAAGCAAAACTGTATGTTAAAATTCTTTGTGTGAATGTCTCCTAACTAAATCTTGGCAAAGATAATGCTTGCTTGTCTTTAAATACCCACTAGCAATAAAGCACAGCGTGCTGTGGCAATTGCTGTTTGCACTCTGTATCCCCTGTGTCCTAGTGATTTTGTGACCCTTACCCAGGAACCCCAACGCCTCAGACGTTGACACTATTCGTTGATAAAACTTCCATGAAAAAAATAAATGGAGGAGTGGAATTGAGGGTAAACGGATCAACTCCACTGCTACTTCCTGAAATTGTGAATTTGATAACTTTCTCTTAATGTGTCGAGAAGCTGGTACAGTAAAAGTATTATGAGTCTTATTTACAAGGTCAAAAAATAACTTCAAGCAGGGCACCAGTGGCTCAAGCCTGTAAGCCAAGCCACGCAGGAGGCTGAGCTCTGAGGATCTCGGTTCAAAGCCAGCCCAGACAGAAAAGTCCCTAAGAGTCTCACCTGTAATTAACCACACACGCAGGACGGGAAAGTGGAGTTGGGACCCAATTGTTAGAGCTGCTCTTAAGCAAAAAGCAGCTGGGGGCGGCGCACAGGCGCAAGTGTCCTGAAAAAACCAGGTCGCTGGGTGGAGGGGAGAGGACGGGCGATGGGAGGGGGCGGAGGGGCCGCGGGG